TTTATCATCAACACAATCAGTTTCTTTTTATTATTATCCTCCATCATTGTCATGAGTGAATTTTTCTTTTGACAGTTATTTTTTTCATCACTATTACCGCTTGTGTTTAAATTTAATGAATTAAATAATTCTTGCTCTTTACTATCGGAAAATAATTGATGAGATGAATTTTTTTGATTTATTTTAGGAGATTTAAATATTTCTTCTTTATCAAAATGATTGGGTGAAATTTTACTTTTATCAATCGATGAAGTTTTCTTTTGGTTAGAAGAAATATTTAATATTGATTTATTTTTATCATTATTAGTTTTTTGCAGTTGAGCGAGTTTTGAAGTATTTTTTCCTGTTATTTTTTTAACTTTAATCTCTCTCACATTACACTTTTCAAGTTTTTTTGACAATTGAGTTTTGTGACAGTCTCCTAAATTATTCTTAGATTTAGTAATATAATTTTCTAATAACTTTTGTTTCACAGAATATTTTCCATCCAAACTCGAATCATTTTTTTTATCGTTTAAACTCAAACAATTTTTATTAGTGTTATTATTAACTGCATTTGAAAAAATAATTTGTTCTGAATCTGCAGTTTTGGTTCTTTTCTTAGCAATTACTTCTTCATCATATTTGTTCAATGTATTACTGTCTAACATATTATTTTGAATTTCTGTAAGACTTCTTTCATTTTTGCTTTTTTTCAAAAATGAATTTTTTTTCTTTGCGGTAAAATTTAATTCAAAATTTTCTTGTGATATTTCACTTTTTTCCAATTGGATATTTCTTTTGCTTGTACTTGGATTTACAATAAGCTTTAGTTTATTGTTACTGTTAAAATCTTCATCATCATCAGAAGAAGATATATCTATTGTGCATAATAATTTCTTATAACCTTGCTTAAGTTCTTTTTGTGCAGAAATTTTTTGATCTTTAAGAACAGCATCAATGATTACTTTCGAATGATTAAGTGAATCTGAATGTGGAATGTGTTTTTTACTTATTTTTCTTTTCATAGGTGTACTTGTGATACACGGAATAAAATAAGGATTGTCATTTTTGCTTTTACTTTCCATTTTACCTCTTAACTATTTATTTTATGGAACGCCTATTAAAATTAATTATTTAATATTTATGAAATAAATAATTCACATACTTATTTTTTTATTTAAAAGCACCCACACAAAAAAATTAAAGCTTTTCATTAACTTATTTTAATTATTAAATGACAGTTCATTTATTAATAACCCATAAATGTATATATATATTAAGGTTTGAACGATTGTTTACAATTTTTTAGCGGGAATGAACTGAAAGTGTCAGCAGAATTCAGTCGTACAATATTCGTGACTTGGATTGGTATTTGTAATTTATTTCAGTTGAATTTAACGTTAAAAATTAACACAATTAGTATTCCACTTTCTAAAATTATGAAATTTTAAAATTAGGCTTATTCAAACATCAAAAATATCGAAAATTCAAAAAAACAAACTTACAAAAAAAAAATGGTAATTATTATGTAATTTATGATATTTCGCGCCAAAATTTTAACTAACCCCACACCATTAAAATAAAACATTTTTTTTTTTCTTAATAAAATCTAGTTAGTATTTTGTGCATAAATAATCGGAAATTTTTGTTACAAGTGATTATATTGTTTAAAATTTTCATAAAAAACAATAACAATAAAAAAACCTTGTGTTGTGTTTAGTTTGTGAAAATTTGTGTGTTTAAAGTGAATATTAATTATTATTATTATTAAAATTTTATTTGATGAAGTTAAAGTAAGTAAAAATGGTGGAAGTAATTTTATTTGTTTTAATTTCAAATTGCATTATTATTTTAATTTTGCTTGTTTTTTTTTTGTTTAGAAGTTACGTAAATTGGTTTTTTTTCTTTTTTGAAAATATTTTCAAACAAGTTTTTATAAAATTTTTAACAAAGAATAAATAATTCGTCATGTTTTTTCCAGGTAATTTTTTTTTTTTCTCTGAATGATGGGATGATGATATGTGAAGATGGTAAGTTTTAATAATAATTATTTCAACGATTTTTTTTTTTTTTTTTATTATTCCCTACATAATTTATAATTTTTACAAAAAAAAAAAAAAAAAAGTTATTATTAAGTTATTTATTAAATTCTTTTTAATTTTTCCCAAAAAATTTTCTTTTTTTTTTCTTTCCACCAAGTCCCCCTACATCATGTTGACATTATAAATGTTTTTTTTTTTTTTTTTTTAAAGGTTTCGGGCCAAGTCCCCATAAAATTTCCCCTACACAGAATAAAATATCAATCGATAATTTCTCCAGGTTATTTAAAGAAAAAAAACTTTTGCTGACTCACGTATAAAAGATGCAAATAAATTCAAGTTATGCGTCATAAGTTGTACTTGATTCTCAAGTTTTTAAATATTTCTCAGTGTTAAAACTTAACTACATTTAATAAATAATATTAGTGAGTATGAGATAAATTTTAACGGTTAAAATAAATACAATATGTACATAGTTATTATTTATTTATAGGAAAAATAGTTCGAAGTCGGTTGATGACGTTTATATATAAAATCAAAAACTGGTCACTCTGTTAAAAAAAAAAAAAAAATTTACCGGTGAGTTTATCTTATTTTAATTATTTTTAATTTATTTCCTTAAATAATTTTTTTTGTATGACAAACAACCAAAGGTTATCTTATCTCAATAATAATAATAATTATTAAAACTTTACTTTATGGTTTTTGTTTATTGGTTTCCTCATAATCAGAATAAAATATAATCGATTCGGTTAAATTTAATAAATTATTATTATTATTATTAATTTGCGTTTCGCATTTTTAAAATTAAAATTTTTTTTTTTTTTACTGTTTATAATATATATTTCGTTATAAATGTTAAATTTATACAAAATTTGACAGTCTCTAAATTTAGTTTAAAAAAAAATAGAGAGAAAAAGATGAGGACAAGTTTTCAAATTTGGGGAGACTAATAAAGTATAGATTAGATTATAATCTTGGATATTTTTAAATTTTTATAAATTTTTTAAATGATCAAAAAAAAAAAAAGGAATTCTTGGAATGTTTACACTTTTTAAATTTAAACGTAAGTGTTAATTATATGAAAAAAAATTATTATTATTATTATTAATTATACTTTTGATAGATTGAATAAAGGGAAAATTTTCCATTAAAAAAATTAATCATGTATTGTATAAAAAAAAATTTTTTTTTTGTTTCATCCATTGAAATATTGTTGTAGTAATGATAATAATAATAATATAATAAAACTCACAAAGGCATAATTTAATTCATTTTTTTTTTTTTTTTTCTTTTCAGAATTTAAAATTTATTCACAGACACACATTTATATTATAATGTCACACGTCAATTCAGTTTTTTCAATATCATTAGAAAAAATTCAACCGGAATTAAATTCGGTAAGTAAAAATTTAATTAAATAAAATAACATTAAAAGAATTTCTTTATATAAAATAAAAAAATCTCGGTTTAAAATAATTTTATTAATTTTTATGTTTTATTTAAAAAAAAACTAGTAGAAGAAATTCTTTATCAGTTTTAAAATTTATATCTCATAATAATTAATTAATAGGTACAACTTTAAACTAACCATGCGATAACCGAATTGAAATTCATTTCAAGAAATTTTTTTTACATTACTCCTCCCCCCCCCCCTTATTCAAACGCAATACATTAATAATAATAATAAAAAAAGTAGAAAAACTTGAAGTTTTTAAACATAAAAAAATAAAAATAAAATAAAAAATAAAATAGTTTGTTAAATTTTCCTTAATTTTTTTCTTCTTGTTGTTGTTTTAAATAAATAAATAAATAAATAAAAAAGAAAAATAAATTATTATGTAAGATTTATATTGATTTTACTCTTTTGAAAAAAAAAAAAAAAGAAAAGAAATTTAAATTTTTCATCAATTCAATTTCAATTTAATTCAAATAATTTTAAAAAAAAAAAAAAAAATTTTTACTTAAATACTTTAAATACTTTACTTAATTTTTACTTAAACAATATGGCCTTTAGGTTAAAATAAATTATGTATTGTTAATTATTTTTCTATTGAAATAAATACAATTTATTATAAATACACCGTTTGAAATTATTTATATTATTTTTAGTTCGCTTATCATATTACATTAGTTTAAAAATGAAAAATTACTTTAACAAATAATGAAACATTGTTAAAGAGACAAGTTAAATAATAATTATTATTATTATTATTGCAAATCACTTACTTATAAGATTTATCAAATCAAATTAATATGATATTGATTAATTATTTACTCTTTCTGGAGGTTATAAACTCCTTCCATAGTCAATCGTAAAAATTTCCAATTATTAATGATCGTTTCTTATTTTTAAAAAAGGCATTAGAAAAATAACTGTTATTATTATCATCATCACTTTGGCGCAGTTTTCGGCGTTTAAATATCTTTATGTTTAAAAATGACACATTAAATATTTACCACGTTTTAAATAGTAAAATATTTGCTTTTTTCGTTATTTAAGTTTTCTTTCGACGTTAGGTAATTTTATTATTATTATTATTATTATTATTTCGGTGGATTTTTTATTAATTAATTATTAATTATTTAAACAAATAACTCGTTTTCGTATGACATATCCAATGCATCGCCAAAATTAATTAAAATTGGCTAAAATTAAGGGAAACGAATTTTAAATTTAATTTCTAATTGTTTTTTAACCGTTTGCGGTTGTTGTTATTTTTAAACAAACATAAAATAAAAAAAATTGTACTTTCTGGCAACAAAAACAATCGAAATCTCATTCACGTACTTAAAAATAATTATTTTTAACACCTAATTAGCCTAATTAAAAAAAAATGAAAATAATTTTTATTTTTATTTTTACCTAAACATAATTTAAAAAAAAGTTTTAAATAGAATTAAAAAATGAAAAACAAAACGAAACGAAACAAATTTTTTTTTTAAGTTTATCTATATTAACGATGTTTAACTTATGTAAAGAATATACTTTTTAACAGTGCGCGTTTTTTCATAGAATTTAACATGCGAGCGTGTACGGAAAGTTTGTAATGTAAAAACAGTTTGTTTTCAATCGTGTTTTCGTTTGGACGCAACCTCCCGTATAAAACAAACGGCAAACCACGTGTTTTTCACGTAAACAAATTTTTTTTTTAATAACAAAAATAAATAAATAAATTTTGTTTTTATATCGGGTCATTACAGGTCAGTCATTTAAGACAATTAATTATAATATAATGAAAAAAAAAAAAAATTTTTTTTTGTTTTTTTTTTTTTTCAAATTTTAAACGTGACCTTTTTGTTGTTGTTGTTGTTGTTGTTGGTTCGCAAATTTTTTTAACGAAATGCAAATTATTATTATTATTATAATTTATTTTACGTTTTTATAAAAAAAAAAAAAAAAAGTTATTCTTTTATTTTTTTTATTTTTTTTTTTTTTGCCAAATCGAACGGAAAATTTTTTTATTTGCTTTCACTTTGTTATGCAAAAATTATTATTATTATTATTATTATTATTATTATTATTATTATTATTATTATTATTATTATTATCGCGTAAACAAAGTCATTAATGAATGAATTGTATTGTAAATACGGAAAATATTTTATTTTACAGTTATTCTTTTTTTTTTTTTTTTTTAAGGTACATTTCCAAAAAAAATATACGTTTAATTTTTTTTTTTTCAATTAAAATTACATTTATTTGTTGATTTAACCGGAAATGCATTCATTTATTACGAAAAAATTTAAAAAAAATTTAAATTTTTTTTTTTTTCTGGGTCATTAATCTTTAACCGTAATTGTTGTTATTTACAATTTTATTTTTTTTTTTTATATAAATGAAATCAATGTGATAAAAATAATAATAGTTGTTGACAAAAATTTATTTATTTAAAAAATAAAAAATAAAATTTATTTATTTATTCTAAACGTTTTTATTATTTGTTCAAATTTTTTTTTTCTCTCCACAAAAATTCACTTTCTGGTTCGAATTACATTTTTACAAAATAAAATTTTGAATGTTTTTAATCACGAATTAAAATTAA